TTAAATCAAAATAAAAATATTCTATCAAATAAAAATATGCAAAAATGACTTTTCATTGCCCCCCCCCCAAAAAAAAACATCATTTATGAAAAATCAAACACCAATAATGAATCATATTTCATAGCGGAGCTCCACTTTTGACTGAAAAATATTTATTGGCCCTTATATGGCCAGTTAGTTAATTGCTTTAAATTGTTTTATACGATCGCTTATATGGTCACGAAAGAGTGCGACTTTCATTTGTACACTACTATCATCATATCATGTTTTCTTTCTTTTATTACCACACTGTAAATTAAATCTTTTTTAATGGTGTTATACAAAGAGGAATAAGTAAATTATTGCACAAGAAGATATAATGAATATAATTACAACCTCTTAAGGTGTCATATATGATAAATATTATATTTTGAACATAATTTTTTTTGTGTGTGTAAAGTATAACTAAAAAAATATGATACCTGAGGGAGTGGGATTTTTCTTAAAGAAGAAAATAGAGTTAACTAGTTATTGACTCAATAAATTAAATAAAGAAAAATAGCAGCAGTAGCAAATTCTAATTTCATCCACCTAAAAATAAGGGAGGTTTTTCGGTGGGCATCAAAGTTTTGTTTAGAGACAAAAGTAGATGTCGACAACATGAATGTGTGTTACTACTTCAATTCAATACAAATCAAGCAGATGCCAGCAGCAACTGATGGTGAAGATAAACTTGTTTCAAATCTTGGACTCAGTTTGGCTTAATTCTGATCTTTAAATCAGACAAGCATTTATTGGCCTGAAAAGGGAGTGCCATCCGATCCGATGACTACTAACTTCACATCGCATCAACCTTATTTTATTCCATAAGAAACTCTCAATCTTTTATCTTATAATTATTTTCAAAGCATATGTCTGTCTGTCATTTCACGACAAACGACACCTATCCACCATGGTGGTTGAAAGAACATTAAATATCCTAGAAAAAAAAAAAAAAAGTATAAATTTGCAGTGTTTAGCCCAGGGATGGTAACCTTCAATAATTCTTAGAGAAGATAATACACGAGGCATTAATCAGAATTTTTATTCTTAGTCTATCATAATAATTCACAAAAAAAGAATTTAGTATTTTGTTTTGACGTCATGACTAAAATAATAATAATAATAATAATCCAAATATATCTTATTTTTTGTTATGTTGCAAGATGCATATTTGTTTTGTGACACAAGTGTATTCCCAAAATAGAATATCAAAATAGTTCTTGGATTTCTTACTCATAGCCTAAGCATAGGAAGGGTTGTGATTTACTCTTGATTTCCTTGATACAATTTCTTGATCCCCTAATAAGCTAAGCATTTATATTTGTTGCGTGGTGCATCTATCTAATCCGTCACCTAATTTCTGAAAACTAAATCTAGTCATTTGCATTGCTTGAGTTTTTTTTATTTATATTTATTTTCTTTGTCTTCGATTAAAATAACAAAAACAAAAACATCAACAAATTAAGAAGAGGAAAATTTGGATCACTTCTCCATTCCTCCACATGTTAGTCCACGTAGCTTTCCACTTGGCAAACAATATAAGCTTGTGGCGTCAACTCTCACCACGTTGACGTCTAAAAAGTTGATTAGTTAGTAGTAGTGGGCTTCATTAAAATGATTCTTCTTCATGATGTACGCTTTCAAGTTCATAAGTCGACGACAACAGACTAATTTATGAAGTATATGAGTGTTATTATTGAGGAACTATATGAACTCAAAGGAAAAGCGATTAAGGGCACACCATGTCATCTCTCCACTCTCCCCATTTGAAATGCCAAGGAAGAAAGAGAGGAGTAGATGGATACATCGGAAGATTATGCTGCTGCCTTCTAATTGGGACATACGATCGATGTGGAGTTAACTAATTAATCCAATAATTCTAAAAGGTTCCTCGGAGCACAAGCATCATGATGATGCTGTATCTGTACCATCAAAATCTAATCTAATCTAATGCACGAGGTTTTCATTAATTGGGAGTTTTTCTTTGACGCAAACCATAGTCAATCGGTTTAATGGTTTGTAGGATTGACCCTTAAAGATGTTTAGAATTTGAATGGAATTTAAAGAAGAAATATATGTAAATGCAAAGAGAGCCTTTACATGTCCCGTGTTTAGTGGTTTATCATGTTAATTTCCCGATCCAAAATGATGGGAAAATTATGACAACGGGTTTTCTAGAGATGTTGCGGTACAATTAAGTCAACGGGTTATTAGTACTTGATGGAAAAAGTCATCGTACAAAGTGGACCCTCAATTAATTGTACTTTCTAAAAAAATAGGGTTGCACTTAATGCACAAACAAGTGCGTGCTCGATATATTATCTTTTTATATAGTCATCTAATTAGTATGACTAATTATATATCTCGGACACCTTATTTGTGGTTGACATGAAGAGACCCAATTTGCATGTTGTTGGGAGATCAATTGCATTGCTTTGGCTTGGCATGAATGCAATGCATGAGATGACAAATATCTTGTGCTAGCATCTGCTCAGAAATATGCCTCGTTGTTCATTGTGTAAATTATGCATGCACTGAGCATCACAGGCAGTCTTAATGCATTTGCAAATCTGATGGTTCTATTGGATCGATCATATACACCCATAGCTAAAGTTTCACAACTAGAATGACACTGAAGAAATACTCTACTCATCCAAGTAGTCATATGATAAGCTTTTAATCCTGAAGTTGACACGCTCGAGAATAATGAATGTTGATCATGTCAAACCATTCATAGCATGGACCCTTCAACTTTGGTTTCAGGATGGCAGTTCATGTCAAGAATTTTGTCACCTGGTTAACAGGTTCTGGGTGACAAGAGTGCCACAGGTCTGTCTCCATTAGAGTTTCCCGTGCATGGTGACAACAACTATTCATTTGTTGCCTCTATCAAGTTTGTGTCGGCCTGACTTCTTTCGGTCTTTCCCTTCATCAGAGTTTCCCGTGCATGCATGGTGACAACAACTATTCATTTGTTGCCTCTATCAAGTTTGTGTCGGCCTAACTTCTTTCCGTCTTTCCCTCACCTTCGGTTTGATCAGCGAAGGATGAAAAGTTGTGTCATCTTCCTAAAGGCATCATCATGATGACCCCTTGTAGAAGCTTGTTTATAAACATGACAAGCGATTCCCACGAAGGACAAAAACAAAACATTGGTAAGACAGTTTACCATCCGGAAATGTACACTCGAGTCTCTTGTACTCGAATCAAGTTGAAAAGTATGCACACGCACTTTGGTCTCTTGGGCAACCTAACACATTATACATGAACAAATAGCTTACACCCCTCCCGCATATTACAAGAACCAATCGAAAATATGGAGATCTCCCAACATGATATCGATGTAATCTCATCTCGAATTTGGTGAGGTCACTACTAAGGATTAGCAGCATTGATCTTGATGGATGAATATTAATTCTGAGTTGATGTTTTGATGGAAGGCATCTTTTCTATCATTATAAATTTAGGATTTGATCCTCTCTCCACCCAAACCGACAAATGTAGGATGCTGCTCAGTTGATTTTTATTGATTTGATTAGAAAGATAATCTTTTTATTTTTAATGCAAGACAATAAATATTGATATTCATTGATTTTCTTCTGAAGTAGATGAGTCTGTGAGTCATATTATGATCCTCAATTATATTATGATATTATATTTTTATTTTACTTATATAATTTTATGAGTAATTTGATATTTATGCATTATGACGCTTGTTAGTCACCAAAGTGGTCAAACATTAAAACTGCACAAAAATCAATTATATAAAATTTATAATTCATTACCGATCATTAGTGATGCTTATTAATAAAAATGACATGATGGTAGCATTTGTAATCTTTATTGATGATGTTGATAAATTATAAGAACTTTTGGGATTATCGAAAGTTTGATCAATTATTCTTATAACTAATAAATATAAATATGATACTTGATATATTTACTAAGATTTACTTTTGTTTATCCAACTATAGCAAAATACCTGATTTGAGTATATTCAATTGTCAAATAGAGTGAGACATAAAGAAACATCATTATGGTTGACTATTTTAGTTTCGTCCAAAGGAGAATTTTGATATGCATTTATAATTTATCTACAATATTAAATTTGAATTATGTGTAATATTTACACTCAAAGCATTAATGTAATAGTGTTTTATAATATTGTATCCCTTAATTCATAAAGAATAAATATTAAAAAGATCTCAAAGGAAATAGAGACCCTATATTATGTTATATATATATATATATATATATATATATATATATATATATATATATATATATATATATATATATATATTT